GGGGGGTTTTAAATGAATGGGGGATGGGTAAGCAGCAATCTGGATGCATTGTATAAGAGAATAAATAAATAAATAAATAAATAAATAAATAAATAAATAAAAAGCCTACTGTGTCAGTGCCCCATGTTGGGTCTTTGCATTTACAGCCTATGATTCCCATGGCTTTGTAGCATGGGACCATCTCTGAACCCTTCCAGTCATAGTCCCAAACCTAAAGCAACCAGAAGAAAGGTGATTGGCTGAGGATTTATCCCAGGATGTCTTTCCTCCTCCATGTTCCCTACACTAGAGCTAACCCTCATGAACTGGAAGGAAAGATCCTTAATGTCCTACCCTATCCCTGTGACATGCCCCTACATAATGTCACCAACACAGTGACAGATGGAGCAGAACCATTGCAGAACAGGATTCTAGAGTCTTCCTCTGTAAGTAGATGAAACACATAAGATTATGATTGAAAGGAACTTAATGTCTGTGTCATGGCTCTCCCATTTATGTTGCAGAAACTGAGAACCACACAAAAGAGGGGCTAGTTATGTCAACTACTCCTGACAAGTATGTGCCAACCACATAACTACCTTATCACCCCTGAGCCCATTCTGTACAAGAGTTCTTGCTTAGACCTCTGTAGTAAAACAACAGACATGCAGAGGTGTTTTTCATGGCTTGACACATTAGATGGGGAAAATCTGTGGAATTGACACATGCTATCATTTTATGTACTTTACCATAGGGACAGATCAACAAGATCACACTTTATCAAGGTGTTTCCTTGCAGCCTAGCTTCTGAACTTCTGGGTTTCTGGAGAACATATTGGAACCTCTGCATGACATCCAGTAGCTTGATGACCATCCAAGCTGATCAAGGAATGAAGACTCATGGGGACAGAAAGTCTGCATACACTCAGGAACAAACAACCTCCATGGACAGAAAAAACTAAAGTATCTATAGGAATGGATTTTTGGACCCCAGGAAACTGTGGGAAATTTGTTGGAAGAATGATGAGGAGAAAGATGCACAAATTTTCTCAACTCTTCTCAGTCTCCTCGCTGCACTGCAGCCTCTCCAGAACCTCCCAGCTTCCTACCCGGAATCCTCTAGATCCCCTTGAAGAAGGTGAGATGGTTGTTAATTGAGAAATCTCAGCTCCCTTCCTAATCTCTACATAGGTCAATTCCTAGGTCAATTTCCAGGGTTACCCTCTGAGCTCGCAAAGGTCTGGGTCACCTCACCTGACACTATGATATCCACTGGGACACTGGAATGTGACAACAGGAAAGGGGATTCTCTTTTAGAACCAAAGCAGATATAGGAGCCTCCAAGGGCCGAGGTCACAGCACTCATGGAGAATTTTGCCTCATGTTGCGGATCTTGAGACTGTGAACTTTGCTGCATGTAGGGATGGGCTTCACCTTCCTTAAACAGAAAGAAATTGTCCACTGTGCCTGATGACCGACATAGTAGAGTCACATTCTCTCCTGAGGACACAGTATGTCCTGGATGCACTGAGAGATTAAGTGCAACAAGGGGATGTCCTAAAGACAAGAAAATGGGTAAATGAAAGGCTTCAGTCATTGCCCTGAGTCCCTCATTCAAAAACTAGTCTCTATATTTTAACAGACTGTCCGTTGTCCCCTCTCTTGTCCCTAGACATATTCCTCCCTGGAGATGCTTATCATCATCTTGATGATAAATCCCAGCTCATATCCCAGATGAACCTCTGCCAAGATGGGTGCCAACTAAATACACTATTTCCTCACCTGTGATCAGGATGTCCAGAGGGTCACTGGGGGCTGACCACTCAGAGGAGTTGCTGTGTGCACCAAGGCATCTATAGCGACCACCAATGAAGTAATTCCCAGAGCCTACTGTGAAGTTAGCATGAAAATGTCCATCCCGAGACTGACAGGCAGAGACCTGTGTGAGGTCATGTTCCCCCTCCTTGTACAGAGCAAATCTGTCATAATTTGTCTCAGAGAAACACTTGAGAGTCAAGTTCTCTCCAGGGGCCAGGACAGTTTCTTGTTGGGTCACCAGGTAGGGCTTCCTTGACAACCCTGGAAGGAAGATAGACATGGAGTCATACAGCTGGTTCTTGCAATCTATTCCATATGCCATCCTAATCTGACAGGGCCATGGCCTTTTCCCACTCTGGGCCTTAGAAGTCAAGAGTTCCCTTCATCCATCATGCCCTGTAGCCCTCTGTGAGGCAGAATGACTTATAACAAAGGGTTTCTGGTGTCAAACAGTTGAATGAAAGAGGACACTTCCTCACCTGAGACATATATCTCCAAGGGGTTACTGGCCTCTGACCACACATATGAGGTATTTGTATAGTATCCATAACATCTGAAGGGCCCATTCTTGCTGTATGTCAGAGAGATCATAGGAAACAGAGCTTGGAACTGTCCATTGTTTGTGAACTGTGCCTTTTGGGACCTGGGGAATTTCAGATCTGCCCCAGTCAAAGTGAACCCATCGTATCCTTTGGACGAATTACACTGAAGGCTCACATTCCCACCTGACGTCACCACAGGCCTGGGCAAAGCTGACAGGGTAGGTTTGCCATCATGGACACCTAGGAGAGGAGGAGGCAGCCTTTCAAATAAAACACTGCCCACAATGTCTTCAGCGGATAAGCTATGGAAACATATCTATGGGGTATTATTTCCCAAGAACAGAGGCAAAAAACTATGAAACAGTGTAATCTCACCTGTCACCACCAGCTCCAGGGTGTCACTGTGCTCTGTCCACCCAGCAGAGCTGTAAGAGTAACAGTTATATCTCCCTGCATTCAGGCTAGACACAGATGGGATAGAGAATTTTGCCTTGTTATTGTGGTCTACTTGGGTCTCTGTGTGGCTGGGTCCTGGGCTTCCCTCTTTATGGATCACATATGTAAGGGCTTGTACGGTACCCGCACACCAGATGGTAACAGAACTCCCTGAAGAGACCACAGAACCTGGATGAGCCCAGATGCTGGGTTTCTGAAGGTTCCCTGAAAAGATGCAGAAGAAAAACAAGTGCATCTCTTAGGACAGTTGCACATTAAAGGTCACATTTGCATTGACACTTAAGCTGATCTGCAACAGCACCTCATGTATAGGTTTATCACACACTTGGAGAAACTGGAGTAAATGGCACTGTCTCTCGAACACCCAGTACACATCAGGTCCTTTGCTGGGATTCTGTTTCTGTTGTAATATCATTCAAAGAAAAGGCTACAGTTTCCTTACCTGACACCACGAGCTCTAGGTCATTACTGACCACTGACCACTGCTGGGAGCTGTTCCAATAATAGCCATAGCATGTGAACCTCCACCTCTGGTTGGGGGTCACAGGACCCACTCTGAAATGGGCTCTTGAAAGCCCATGTTGTATGTTCTGTGAGGACACGGGCCTGGAGAACTTCTGATCATCCTTCACTAGAATGAATCTGTCATATGCCTGTTGTGACCCACACTGAAGAGTGACATTCCATCCTGGGGTCACCACAGGACTGGGAAAGGCTGACAGGGTGAGTTTGCTGGAGTAAGCTCCTAGGAAAGAAGAGGAAGTCTGTTAAGTGGAAAACAGAAAGTAAACATTGACCCACTCATCAAGAATAGAGGAGAAATTCCTAGAAATAAAGAATTATCCTCTCAAGATATTCATGAAACCCACATGTGACAAAGGGCTGATTTCCAAAATATACAAAGAACTCAAGTAGCTAGTCACCAAAACACCAAATAATTCAATTAAAAATAACTTAATAGAGAATTCTCAATAGAAGAATCTAAAATGGCTGAAAGACACAAAAGAAAGTGCTCAACATCCTTAGCCATCAGGGAAATGCAACTCAAAGCAACTCTGAGACACCATCTCACTCCTGTCAGAATGGCTTTAATTAAAAACACCAATGACAGTTTATGCTAGAGAGGATGTGGAGAAAGGGGATCACTCCTCCACTGCTGGTGGGAGTGCAAACTTACACAGCCAATTTGAAAATCAGTATGTCAGTTCCTCATGAAAATGGGAATCAGTCTACCACAAGATCCAGCAATTCCACTCTTAGGCATATACCCAAAAGAAGCACATTCATACAACAAGGACTTCTGTTAAATTATATTCATAGCATCCAGAACCTGAAAGCAACCTAGATGCCCCTCAACTGAAGAACAGATAAAGAAAATGTGATACATGTACACAATGGAGTACTACTCGGAGGAAAAAAATACAAACTTGAAATTCGCAGGCAAATGGATGGAACTAGAAATAACCATCCTGAGTGAGGTAACCCAGTCACAACAAGACAAACATGGTATGTACTCACTCATATATGAATTTTAGACATAGAACAAAGGATTTCCAGCCTACAATCCACACCGACAGAGAAGGTGGGAAACAATGAGGACCTTAGGAGAGACATACATTGTCCCTGGGAGAAGGGGAAAGGATAAGATCTCCTGGAGAAATTGGGAGCATGGGGGAGGGGAGGGGAAACTAGAAGAATGAGAAGGTGAGAAGAGGAGGGGTGAGGAGGACATGAGGGAGCAGAAAGGTTGAGCAGGGGGAAGAATAGAGCAGAGCACGAAAAAAGATACCATAATAGAGGGAGCCATTATAGGTTTAAAGAGAAAGCTGGCACTAGATAAATGTCCAGAGGTCTACAAGGAGGATCCCAAGTAAGAATCTAAGCAACAGAGGAGAGGCTACCTTAAATGCTCTTTCCTGTAAATGAGATTTATGACTAATTCATATCCCATCCTATAGTCTTCATCCAGCAGCTGATGGAAGTAGAAGCAGACACCCACAGCTAAACACCGAACTGAACTGGAATCCAGTTGTAGAGAGGGAGGAGTGATGAACAAAAGGGGTCAAGACCAGGCTGGAGAAACCCACAGAAACAGCTGACCTGAACAAAGAGGAGCTCGTGAACCCCAGACTGGTAGCTGGGAAACCATCATAGGACTATCTATGAGTGTAGGTGTCAGTTAGATGGCCTGGGCAATCTATGGGGCCTCTGGATCCACTGCCAATGAAACAGTATTATCGCTAGTATATGAATGGACTTTGGGAGCCCATTCCACATAGAGGGTTATTCTTTCTGCCTAGACACATGTGGAAAGGCCTAGGCCCTGCTCCAAATGATGTGACAGACTTTGAAGATCCCCATAGAAGGCCTCACTATTCCTGGGGAGCAGAAAGGGGATGGGATAGAAGGTTGGTGGGGGGCAGGGATAGAGGGGAAGGAGAGGGAACTGGGATTGATGTGTAAAACAAGCTTGTATCTAATTTAAATTAAAAAGGGAAAATAATCATCCTCTCACCTGTCACCACCAGTTCTAGTGGGTCACTATGCATTGACCACCCTGCAGATCCATAAGAGTAACACCTGTATTTCCCTGCATGACGTCTTTCCATGGATGCTATGGAGAACATGGCCTTGTTACTGGGACCTTGTGGAGATTGACTATCCAAGGGTGCTGGGCTTCCTTCCTTGTAGAGGAAATATAGTTGGGTTTCCCTGGTCCCCTCACACAAGATGGTCACAGCTTTCCCCAAGGCAATCAGGGAACCTGGCTCAGCCAACAAAGAAGGCTTTTTAAGTTTCCCTGGAAGGAAGTAGATGAGAAAAGTGTGACATTGAACAGTTTCACAGTGAAAGCCAAACTTTCTGCTGCTCTTTTACTTCGACACTGAATAGGAAAGGAACAGTAATGCCATGGGAAGACTCATCACTCTCCTACTCCTTGCAGGTTTCATTGTCCCTATGCCCTCCCCTCATTTTCTGGCCTTGACACCCACAGTCTGTATGCGGTGTCAATTATCTCAGCCCTGAGTAGTCAGACACATCACACACCATGGCTCCACTGGGAACCCGTGTCTAGTAGAATGTGTTTCCACAGAGTGTCTGAGTCTTCCTCACCTGAGACCAGCAGCTCCAGGGGGTCACTGGCTTCTGACCACACCTGAGGATTACTTGTGTAATAGCCGTAGCATCTGAAAATCCACCTTCGTCTTGCGGTCACTAGATGCAGTTGGAACTCAGTTAGGAACATTCCAGTGTGTATATATCTTGAACGCCGAGGGCTGGAGAATTTCTGACCAGCCACGTTTAAAATGAACCAGTCATAGGTCTCATTTGAGGTACAAGAGAGGGTCACAGACACTAGTAAATTTACAACAGGGTTCTGCATGGTGGACAGGGTGGGTTTGCTGTAGACTCCTAGAAGAAATAAATATACAATATTAAATAGGCTCATACAGTCTGAATTGTGCCCCATAGCTGTGTGTGGACTGTTATGTGACCCTTCAGTGTGAGTCACAAGAGCCATATAACACATTCGTTCTAATGAAGGATGACGAGAAGTTCTCCAGTCCAGTTCCCTCACAGGATATGTCCTCTAGACGATTTGGAGCCGTGTTCACAGTGGGTCCTGTGAACATACTGCTACAGCACTGTTTTCTTGAGAGTGGAATCTCCGGCTAAGGTTTTGAATGTCCTCTCACCTGTCACCACCAGCTCTAAGGTGTCACTGGGCTCTGACCATCCAGCAGAGTTATAAGAGTAACAGTGATATCGTCCTGCCTGGAGGTGTGTCACAGATGGAATGGTGAATTTTGTCTTATTGTCATGGGCTATTTGGATCTGTTGTACCCAGGGTTCTTGGCTTCTCTCTTTATACATCACAATTTTTATGGTTTCTAAGGTCGCCTCACACCAGATGGTAACAGGATTCCCTGAGGGGATCACCAAGCCTGGCTCAGCCCATATGTTGGGCTTGTGAATGGTTCCTGCAAAGAATTAGAAAGAAAGGAGGTGCATCTGTTAGGGAAATATCACTGAGAAGGTCACAATTGTCATTGACACAGGAGCTGATCTGCAATAGCAGAGGACACAAAAAGACCACACTTTCCCTGGCTCTTGGATTCCACTGTTATTTTAACCCTAGTTTTGGCACCTCACGTTCAGCTATATCACACATTCTGTGACACTGAATTCAGTAGCCTTGGCTCTCAGTCAACTACCACACATCAGGTCCTTTGCTGGAATCTTGTGTCAGTTACAATTACACTCAAAGTCCTGCACTTCCTTACCTGAGACCAGAAGTTCTATGTCATTACTGGGCCCCGGAGATTCCACTCTCAAGAAAACAGTGCTGTAGCAGTATGTTCACAGGACCCACTGTGAACACGGCTCCAAATCGTCTAGAGGACATATCCTGTGAGGGAACTGGACTGGAGAACTTCTCGTCATCCTTCATTAGAACGAATGTGTTATATGGCTCTTGGGACTCACACTGAAGGGTCACATAACTTCCTGAAGTTATTGCAGAAATAGGCATGGCTGACAGAACGATGCTGTTGGGGTGAACTCCTAGGAGAGAAGAGGAACCCTGTTATTTGGATTTTTATAAGAAGCATTGTTCCCATCTTCTCATATTTGAGAAAGGCTACCTCAGAGTACATATTCCTTTCCTTAAGGCAATCCTGGGGTTAGAGGAAGGATCTCTCACCTGTCACCACCAGCTCCAGGGTGTCACTGTTTTCAGATGTTTCATTGGAGTTTTTATATTCACACCAATATTGCCCTGCATTGTACCATTGAACAGATGAGATTGAGAACATGGCCTTGTTCTCAGTTTCTAGAATTCTTGTTGGCGTCAGGTATTCTTGACTTCCTTCTTTGTAGAGACGATATTCCTTGGCCACCACGGGTACTTCACAGAAGAATGCCACCTGGTTCCCAGTGGCTACCACATTACTTGGCTCTGCCCTGAGTGTAGGTTTAGATAGGGGCCCTGAAAGAAACTGACAGTTCATTCCACAGATCTCCCCATCTGATATAAGTTCTCAGACCCAGGACCACCCAGAACTCCCCTCAGATACAAGTTCTCAGACCCAGAACAATTCAGGCATCCCCAGCATCAGGCCAAACCTGCTGTTCTCCATCTGCTCTGATCATGAGTTCCCTGTGATTCCCCATCATGCTGTCCAATCCGGGGCAGCTGGGAAGACACTCACCTGCCAGCACTGGGATCCTGATGTTCAGACTCAGTCCTGCAAGAGAGTTACCTGTGAGTGTTTGCCCTGAAACAGGAGCACGATCTCCACTTCCTGGTGCCTTCTGGACCAGACGAGACATCCTAGTGGCCTGAATCATGGTGTGAGGTGGATTCCCTCTCACACAAGAATTCCTCATCCCCATTTGGTATCTCACCGAGATACAGCAAGACTGCAAGAAAAGAGGTCATGGCATCTTCCAGGTGCCACAAGTTTTCAGATAGTTGGTCTCCTTTCCAAACACACAGAAACAAGACGTGTGTCTTCTGTAGGCTTGTTTCTGCTTCCTGTCATGACGATGTCATATTAGCAGCTGCTGAGAAAGAGGAACTGCTCTAAGCAGGCGCCTGACTCTCCTTCCCTATGCTGTGATGGGTTGGGCTCCTAATGTGTGGCTTCTATCTCTCTGTGCTTCTTTAGTTTTTGTTTTTGTTTTTCTCTAAGACAGAACCTCTTAAACTTCATGCAGGTCTCAGAATCTTCCTTCTTCTCCCTCAGCTTCCTGTTCTCTGGTATCACAAACCCAAGTCTGGCTGTGGTCTCTTCCTGCTGAACACCTCCACAGTAACCCTCTACACCTGCCTGATTGACCCCAGTCACCAAAGAATGGGACTTAACCCAAAATAAACTTGGTGACTTCCTGAGCCATCTCTTCACTTGAGGCTTTCTGGGGAGGTTGGAGCTTCTTCTTTATATACATATATAAATTTTTATTTAAATTAGAAACAATCTTGTTTTACATATCAATCATAGTTCCCTCCCACAGTGACAGAAACAAAGATTCCACGAAAATCAAACTGGGGAACAAATGAACTAATGGAGTGTTCCTTAGAAGTGTGCTGTCAATATTGGGGGGTCTTATTGTTTTTGTTTGTTTGTTTGTTGAGACAGGTTCTCACTATGTTGCTCTAACTGTACTAGAACTGGCTATGTAGAATAGACTAGACCCACCAGCCAGTCTCACACCCAGCTGTTGACAACAGTGTGTTCCATTATGCCCAGCAATATTGGAAATTTCTCACTGGTTATATGTCTGAAAAAAACTTTGCCTGCAACTTTTAACTGCCTATAGCTCTGATGGAAGAGGAGTAGCTTTAGGAGCATCTATACCATGAAAGAATAGTAATGGGGGCACTGTTTACAGGTCGTATGTGTGTACCTACTGAAACTTCAACGGGACAAGAGTAATGCCATGCTTGGAGAACAGTGATCCACAGCAAATAAGATGCAATTGGATGCTGCTGGTAGGATACAGACCAGAAGGGACACACTGAGCACTTTACCCTTCAATTCCCTTGGATAAACACAGAGGGATTTGCAGGAAAGTGGGGACGAAGTATGATAGTCTCATGACTCTTGATTTGATTCTATTCTGCTAAATAATCTCCAATAAATTCATCCCCTTTTTCTTAACAATATACATTATTTCTATAGGAACCACCTCTCAGCATTATTTCTTCTTTGGTGTTTCTATTTCATTGTTCAGAATCCTTCTGGTTTTGTGAAGGCTGAATTTGATTTAACGCCCGTCCAATCACGAATGTCCATTCCAACCTAAATGTTGTTGGCATCTCAGCTTTGAGCCTCAGCACCATCCTGATTGCCTAATATCAGCATCATTTTCATAGTATTTATGGGTTCAGGGGTGCTTATGATTTGGACATTCGAGGAATGGTTAACTTTCTGAATGTTTTACAATGTAGTTGGGATACAAGAGGGTTTTGGTCATGCAAATGTTATGGTTAAAGGGCCCCTCTCTGCTCTTACGTTTTGCAAACGATTAATACATTAAGTCTAAACTGGGAGTGTCATCAAAATCGTGAGCTGGAAAACAGAAGTGAAAACTTCCCCAATCTGAAAGTTCCTAAAACACATAAAGTTCCCTGTTCAAGAAAAGAGGCTAGCACTGTTCAGTTCCTGAACCTACCCTCCTGAAGGATCATTGCTAGCAGACTTTCTCTTCCATGGTGCCAGAGGTAGAGTCAGGGATCCAAGAGTGCTGGTAGAGTGTATCTCTGTGCTCTCTCTGCTGATGGATACTGCAATAGCTCATATTACTGTCTGGAGACAATGTTGGCACTAAAATAGATCAATCCGTACTTGTATCCAAAGACATATTGTCTCAGGTGTAGGTATAACATTTGTTGTGGGATATTTGTACACTGTGTGAAAAAAACTTTGTTGTGATTGATGTAATAAAAACCTGAATAGCCAATATCGAGGCCAGAGGTATAGGTGGGACATCTGGGCAGAGAGAAAACTCTGGGACGAAGGAATCAGAGTCACCAGCCAGATACCAGACACAGAGAAGAAACTGGACCTGCAAGATGGAAAAGAGGTTCTGCCACGGTAGGAAGGAGAGACAGACTAGATGTCTGAGGATAGAGAAAAAGAGCAGGAAAAATCTAAGAATGCAGACCACATCAGAGAAATTCCAGGAGACTCAGAACAAGTGGGAAGAACAGAATATAACAGAGGTAACTGATCCACATGACATGATAGATAAATAAAAAATGGTTAAATTAAGCTATAAGAACCAGTTAGAAAAAAAGCCTACTCTATAGGCCAAGCATTGATAATTAATAAAAGCCTCTGTGTCATTATTTGGAGCTGGCTGACAGGTCAGAGAATGACTCCTTACATCAGAGATCTAATATGGGGGCAAATATTTCCATGTAGGACCTGAAAAAAAAAAACTTTTAAAATTTCCAAACATGAGCCGGGCATTGGTGGCTCACACCTTTAATCCCAGCACTCGGGAGGCAGAGGCAGGTAGATCTCTGTGAGTTTGAGGCCAGCCTGGTCTCCAGAGAGAGTGCCAAGATAGGCTCCAAAGCTACACAGAGAAACCCTGTCTCAAAAAACCAAAAAATAAAATAAAATAAAATTTCCAAACATGAAGCCAGATATAGCTTCCTAGTCCTTCAGTCTCTCAGGTGGCAACTGCCTGCTGGCTTGAGCCAGCTAGCACCATGTGCAGAGCTGCATGGTGATTTTAAAGTTTGTGTGTTTTCCCAACTAAACACTGAGCTGAACCCTGGAACCCAGTTGCAGAGAGGGAAGAGTGATGAGCAAAGGGGTCACGACCATGCTGGAAAAACCACAGAAACAGCTGACCTGAACAAGGAGTTGCTCATGGACCACAAACTGATATCTGGGAAACCAGCATAGGACTGTTCCAGACCCCCTGAAGGAGGAAGTCACTTTAGAGGTCTGGTTAATCTGTGGGGCCTCTGGTAGTGGATCAGTATTTATCCCTAGTATATGAATGGACTCTGGGAGCCCATTCCACATAGAGGGAAACTCTCTCAGCCTAGACACATGGGGGAAGGTCTAGGCCCTGCTCCAAATGATATGACAGACTTTTAAGATCCCCTATGGAAGGCCTCACCCTCGCTAGGGAGCAGAAAGGGAATGGGATGACGGTGGGGAGCAGGGGAGGAGGGGAGGGTGTGGGAACTGGGATTGACATGTAAATGAAGCTTGTTTCTAACTTAAATTTAAAAAGGAAAAGGGGGGAAAGTAAAAAATAAAAATAAAGTTTGTGTTTTCCTAACAAAAACCAGACACCAATAAAGACAAATAGCTCAGCCTTTCAGAATGCCAGATTGCCTTTAGTGCAGTTTCCTCAAAATCCTGCACTTAGAGCAACTTCAAAGTTGCTAACTGAGAGGGTTCAGCCTCACAGACTTCAGATAAGCCAGACGTTTTTCCATCACACCAAGGGTAGACAACAGCTGGCTCTCACAGGCTTGTCAATTACATTAATTTTCTAAGGGTTCCCTAAAGATTCCATCATCCCCAGACAACAACAGGATGCAGTCTGGAGAACACAATGCCCATATTTCTTTTTTCCCAGATTTTTTTATTTGAATTAGAAACAGGATTGTTTTACATGACAATCCCAGTTCCCTTCTCCCTCCCGTCCTCCCCTACCACCCCCCCAACTAACACCCCACCTATCACATATCTTTTCTTCTCCCCCTGGATGGTGAGGCCTTCCATAGGGTGTCATCAGAGTCTATTGCATCCTTTGGGATAGGGCCTAGGCCCACCCCCATGTGTCTTGATCAGGGAGCATTCCTCTATGTGGAATGGACTCCCAAAGTCCACACCTATGCTAGGGATAAATACTGAACTACTAAAGCAGGTCCCGTAGGTTTCCGAGGTTTCCTCACTGAAACCTACATTCCTGGGGTCTGGATCAGTCCCATGCTGCTATTCCAGCTATCAGTCTGGAGAGCAAGAGCTCCCCGATGTTCAGGTCAGCTGTTTCTGTGGGTTTCACCAGCCTGGTCTGGACCTGTTTGCTCATCACTTGTCCTTCTCTGCATCTGGATTCTAAATCAGTTCAGTGGTTAGTTCTGAGTGTCTGCTTATACTTCCACCAGCTGCTGGATAAGGGCTGTTGGGTGGTATATAAGTCAGTCATCAATCTCATTATCAGGGGAGGACATTTAAGATAGCCTCTCCTCTGTTGCTTGGATTGTTAGCTGTTGTCATTTTTGTAGATCTCCAGATATTTCCCTAGTGCCTGATTTCTCTGTAAAGATAAAATGTCTCCCTCTATTATGGTATCTCCATTCTTGTTATCTTCTATTCTTCCCCTGACTCAACCTTTCTACTCCCTCATGTCCTCTGCATCCCTCCCCTTCTCTCCTCATTCTCCTAGCTCCCTCCCCCCTATTCCCTTGCTCCCAATTTGCTCAGGAGATCTTGTCCCTTTCCCCTTCTTCAGGGGACCATGTATGTCTCTCTTAGGGTCCTCCTTGTTTCCTAGCTTCTCTGGCAGTGTGGATTGTAGGCTGGTAATCCTTTACTCTATGTCTAAAGTCCACATATGAGTGAGTACATACCATGTTTGTCTTTTTGTGATTGGGTCACCTCGCTCAGAATGGTTTCTTCTAGTTCCATCCATTTTTCTGCAAATTTCAAGATTCCATTGCTTTTTTCTGCTGAGTAGTACTCCATTGTGTAAATGTACCACATTTTCTCTATCCATTCTTCACTTGAGGGGCATCTAGGCTGCTTCCAGTTTCTGGCTATTACAAATAGTGCTGCTATGAACATCATTGAACAGATGTCCTTGTTATATGAATG